TCTAAGCAACAACAATCCTCATCCCTCGGCATCCAACTTGGAAGACGAGCTACATCTAGGCAGCATCGGCGCCCATTATCATTTTGTATCTGTTCTTTGTTCAGGATAATCGTCTGTGACAAAGATGAATTGAAAATTCCGGTGGGGCATAGTGTAAATCGATAGAGTAATGTAAAAGTCAAGATACTGATTGGGATAGTATTAAAATGAATGAATCGATTTCGATTAGTTGATCTTTTCTTGCTGGTCACACTACTAAGGCACTATATAAATCACCTCAACTGGTGGTAGAGAGTTTCTAAACAAATTGCGTAGATCATAGTTCAAAGTAAACAGTGTGTAGCTACTCCCTCGGTCGTTGAAATGTATGTTAGATTAACTGACATAAAACTAAACTTGATGGTTTCAGTCCGGAAAAGGTCATCACGTCATCACACGAGAGCTCATGAGTACTATCTGCTTTCTGTATTTCTACGCAAACGTCCAAAGTACTGAGACGAAATTCGCAGTGTGTGTTACAAATCAACTGACGAGAATACTAGGTCAATCGCCGGCAGAGTTAGGAAAAGTTTAACACACTCGTTCCGATGCAGTTTATGCTAGCCTTAATGTTTGAGTGAATGTGCAAAAATCACCCTTTAGTCCCAGACGTTGCTACAAATCCTGTACTTAATGCGATGAACTGGGTGGGGCATACGAATCAAGCGATCATTGCATCACAGTTTATTGATCCAACGTTTTACATTTTTGGTCAATATATATTGGAACACCAACAGATGGCTTGCAATCCAAGCAAAAACACCTGGGTTTGTCAGAATGTAGCGAAACAGAATGTACATCTATCCTCATCAGGTCGAATCACGCAAGGGAACTCATTGCCCGTTGAAGTTTGAGCAACTCGATTCTGTGATGCACACTCTCTTTTGTTCACTCAATCAACTGGGACGACCGCGGTTAATTCTCTCACATATTTGTTCTATTCTCCATTTCACATGACCGCAACTCCTCCCCTCCTGTGTGTTTGTGCTCAATCCCAGCTGTGATCGTCTGTCTCAGCCTGATTTGTTACTATACCGAGGCCGCAACGACAACGGACAAACCGACAGTGGATCGGACGCGTATCGCCCTGGCCAGCGGAACGTCCGAATTGTTGGGGTATCTGTTCCATGTACTGTATGGAATTATCGCGCTGCTCACAATCATTGCCCTGTTCTTGTTGATTCTGGTCATTATGGGCCTCTTGCAATGCCTATGCAAAGACAAATCATATTGCTAGGCCGTGTGAGCAATTCACTGAGATCCACTCAAGCTGAATCGGTCGGAGTGAGAGCGAGGCGGCTGGCTGACAACCCCCGTGTGACCACATTTTTTATCCATGCTGTTTCCGAATGTGTACTTGTTATGTTGTGTTGAAAATATGGATAGTATGTTACATAATCCTGTGAACTTTTCTGATATCAGTCGCGCACACCCGTACAGGTTTCAGTTAACGTGCACGGTTGTTCCGGGGTCAGCATTAGATGTTGTCGTTGAATGAACGTAAACCTTAGACATTTACCTCAATACAAAACCCAACCATGCCCTTTTCTGACCACCGGTAAACATGTAATTGATTGAAACATTTACCATGGTTGTTACTTTCCAGTCGCGGTTCTCTGTTTTCTCCTGGTCGCATGCAATGCCGAGGTGGGTCAGCAACAGAAATCGGTTGAATCAGACAATACGACGCCCTTTTCTGGGGGAACTTCTCCCGAGATTGCGATCGCCCTTATTGAAGTCCTGTATGTGATTGTCGGGCTGCTCGTTGTGGGTGCAGTGCTTATCCTAACTCTGTTCTTGATACGTCTGATTCCATGCATCTGTGCGCAGCAGTGTTCGAAGTAGAACGTTCGAGAACGAGAGCGAGAGAGAGAGAGAGTGCGCGCACTGTGAACGTGTGACTGCGTGAGCGGCCACGCCCGCACATGTCATGTCATCACTCATCCGCCTCGTGAACTACCCCCTGCCTGTTCAGACTGTACGTTTTTAATGTGTACATCAGACACGCTTATTCACACCCCCATACTGTACCAGTGAGTGATGTAGAGTGCCTCAAAAATTCAATGAATATACACATTTTTAATGGAGAACGGAAAAGAACGCGTTTTGAATAACAAAACCATTCAGTCGATTACACCCCCAAGTCTATACGCAGAGTGGCTAAAATGGCTCGCTCCAATGGAATGTGAAGGGTAAGATATGTGATCGAGACATCTCGTACTATCCGACTGGTGTATTAACTAGAATAAAACGATAACTATCGGTACAATTATTCAACTGCAATTGACCAAACGATAAGACTTGAAAGGTAAGCTGACTGAAGTAAATATGACAGGCGGAAATAACGACAGAACAATAATTGTGTGAGCGATCCTTTTGTGCTTGAAAACTTCTGTAACCAGCATCAGTTATATGATTGCCTGTATTTTCAGTGTTAAAATATCAATTCGATTTGTACGGGCGTAGATCGACCGTGTTCAAGAAAGCTATGATCATCAGTGATCCGCCTGTTCTGCCATTATGCCCCACGTACGTGAAAGCAGATATTGGTTGTTTAAAGCACTGGCTCCTACTCTCTTTACCCTTCGTAGAGTTGAGTTAATCAGGACCGTGCACACCTTGATGCCTCTTCTTGATCAGGGATTTTGATCCCTTATTTCTTGTGAAAGCCATCTTCAAGATGGTTTATTTACTTTCAATGGTGTGTGGTTATGTGTGAGTACTATCCTTGGGCTGGATACAACAAGGGGTTAGTGTGAAGGATCCGACATCCCCTTACGCACATGGAAAAATGTTCACATTCCTTCGTTTGGCTGAGTTACCGTTGTTCCTTATCGTAGTGAACTTTGTCTTAACCTTGGGTTATGAAATGTCCCCATGTCTGTAAAAATTTCCTTCCTGTTGATTATGTACTTTGTAACGGTTGGCGTGTATGATTTTTTAACTGAAAAAGCTATGCACAATACAATACAACACGATTGGCGAGGTTCATACTTCTACAATGAAGTCAAATTCATTGCATGAACCGCCATTGCAGTGCGTGAATATTCGAATAATACACGTCGGGGGGCGAGCAGTGTATCCCTGATCTCAGTGGGATAAGTTTATTCCCGAGAGAAAAGAAATACCCATCCTTTTCGCATCCGGGCCTATTCTCACAATAAATCCTTTCAAAGATAAGGGTTTCGTCCAACATACCATATGAAGTACGACACAGACACGCTGCAATCGGACCATTACGTTCTTGCGAAACAGCGAGATTGATCCCTTAGAGCGTAGACTGAAAGAGAAGTATTGTTATAGGCTTTTCAAGCATGAAGCAGATGAGCCTATATATATAACTCTAATATTTACTCCTTGTGAAGAATCTTTTAAGTTCCGGCTATCTCTACACATTTATCAGTTACGTAAAGGAATTCATACTTTTTTACCAAAAGTGACGAACAAATATTTTGGCTACCATTGCTAC